GAGAGGAGGGGCTGGATGGGGCGGCGGGGATCCGGGGGCAGTCGGGGAGAGAGAGCGGGTGTGTGTGGATGGGGCAGGGGTCCCAGAGGGGCAGTCAGGGAACGGGGGGAGGGGGCGGGGATGGAGCAGGAGTCCCGGCGGGGGGGGGGGAGGGAGCCAGATAGGAGGTGGGGGCCGGGCCACGACCCCCTCCCCTAACCAGCCCTCCATACAATTTACGAAACCTGATGCGGCCCTCAGGCCAAAAAGTTTGCCCGCCCCTGAGCTAGAACGTACCCCAGCTTGTTTTCTTAAAGCTCCCCAAACATACATCAACCCACTAACATGGACTGTAAAACTATTAACATGCCAAATATTCTGCAGAGCAATCCACTAACAAATTCACAACTTTCACCTTGTTCATAACCCCAAATGCAGTCACCCTATATCTTTGGTTTTGAGTGGTAAGGGCAGTGAAACGTAAGGCCTCCCAGGCCTCTCATCACCTAATCAGCAAAGCACAAAGCATCTGCTTAGGTTAAGCACCCATGTATTCCCATGAATTCAAGGGGACCTCAAGGTTAAACACAGGCTTACGTGCTTGGCTGGATCAGGACTGGATCAATAAGAGTCTTGCATCACTAAAAACTCTGCCACACTCACAAGACTAATAATACTTGCGAGCAAGGCAGAGCATTAAAGTAATCAGGATTCCACTTTGAGAGCATGTGCTTGTTTAACTATCCCAAATTGCTTCTAAGAACAAGAACACAGCAGACAGAGCAACTGAGACAGGCAACCTTACCCTCCTGCCTTGTATCATAGTGGCAGCCATGTCCCAGCACTAACAGCAGAGTCAGAAGTCGGTGCCAACAGGCTCCAAGCATTAGCATAGTTTGGGGAGAAGGCAGGACGGGCATTGTCTTCCCAAACTGCAAGCCTCGGGCAGGTGTGGAATTTGCCGCCTCCACCCCATGCACAGCCCCATTGGCCTGACTGAAGGTACTCCCCCAAATACAGAAGTCAAACTACGCCTATGGCTCCAAGGAAACTGTGATACTGCTCCGTGGCTGGCCACACATGGATGTGAGAGTGGAGTGATCTGCTCCCTCCCCTCTCCTAGTGAGATGAAGAGAAGCTGTATATGTCCAGTATCCCTAACTGACAAATCACCTAGCCAGTAATGCTGGCCTGAAGGGACCCTTAAGTCAGGAATTCACTTCTTTTGCTGGTTTGAGAGAGCCAGAGTTTAATGACCTTGAAGTCTATCTAATGACTCAGGATTCTGGCCAAAAAAGTGGCCTGAGGGGAGGTCAGGGTTCAGGTTCTCCTGTGATCAGAGAAGTTTTCTTTAATGGCTTTTTAATCAACACAGTGTCAATTAGTTATATTAACCCTGTTATTTTTATAATTAGCGCACATAACAGGTGTGCAAGGAAAGTAGAGGAGAGGGCGCAAGGAGCCCCCTTTTGCATGCCCACACTGGCCCAGGCACAATGGTAGTCATTTTCCTCATTTGTCACTTTAAACCATCTCACCCTCTTTTTGCCTCTCTCCACTAGCTCTCCTTCTCCATCATAATGAATTAACTATTTGTCTTCACTTTCAAAGCCCTTTATGGCCTATCCCCACTCCACCCTCCATCTCTCATACACGGTTGAGAGGTCTTGCCTCTCCCCTGTCAATGATGCCAGCCTGTGTCACTCATTTGTTAAATTTTAAAACAAACACCTTTGGATTTCTCCTCCCCAGCTGCCCTTCACACATGGGAGTTCCCTGTAAATGTGCACAAAACTACCTCACAGTCCTCCTTCAAGTGTCTCCTTAAAACGCCCTTTGCTGTGATGCCTGCAAAAAGTTTTGACAACGGTCGAGCAGCTGCTGTGCTGATATTCAGTGCTTAATTTGTAATGAAAGACATGCCGGGGCTCAAGCAATTTTTTTTACTTTCATAACTGTTGCGGCAAGCCCCGACGTGCCGGGACTATGAACTGCCAAGCTAGAGGTGCCGTGGCTTGGCCCTGGCACAAATTAAGCACTGCTGATAGCACTGTCAATCATGCTGACCAGTGTTATCTCATTATTTCTTTGTGAACCTGTCTGGTTTTTTATTCCATCGGTCCTCTCGTCTGATATTTAGCTATTTGGGGCAGAGACCGTCTTTTTGTTCTGTGTATGTACAGCGCCTAGTGCAATGGGGTCCTGCTCCATGACTGGGCTCCTAGACTCTGTGACAGTACAAACATATAGTATCAAACATGCTCTCCTGAGTGCAAAGTCTTCTCTGAATTCACACTAGTCTCTTCAAAAGAGGCAGGGCCACAGTAATGTGCTCTTCTGCGATGGCCAGTAAAGCTGATTCTATACAGAGGTGGAATCAGCTGCACTACAGCAGAGGTCCCCAAACTGTGGGACGTGCCCCCCCAGGGGGGCATGGAGGAACATCCAGGGGGCATGGCGGGGCTCAGGCCAGCCTCTACAGGGGATGGGGAGGGAGCGCCACCCAGCCCCTCCCCGCCCTAGCTGTGCTTTGGTCTTGCCTCCAGCTGCATCCCCAGCTCCCAGCCCCGTGCCTAGCCCCGTCCCCAGCCTTGGCTCTGTTCCTGGCCCCGGGCCAACGCTGGGGGCAGAGCTGGGAGCAGAGCAGCACCTGGCCATGGGCCCAGCTGCCAGCCCCCACTACAGCCCGGCTGTGGCTCTGCTCTGGCCTCCATCACCAGCCTCGGCCCAGACCCACCCCCAGCTGTGGCCCCAGCCTCACCCCCCTTCTCCTGGCCGCACACCTCCCCGCCCCCGGAGCTGCAGCCACTCCCGGTCTCGGAGGTGCACGGACTGGAGTAAGGGGTGGCGCGACCCCAAAAGTTTGGGGATCACTGCACTACAGTAAACAACCTCCATCTTCTCTCTATAACCCTGGAGGCATAGCATCTGCCTTCACAAGCTCCTATTGGGGTAGTGTATCTTTGTACCCCCTTACTATGAGCTGAGTGCAATAACTGTATATATCTGTGTGGTCTACAAAATAAAAGTAACCTGAGTTTGACTGTTATTTATGAAGACTGTTCAATTAACTCTGAAGTACTGTTTACACAGTCTATTTCAGTGACTGATAACGCACTGCACAACACACATACAGCCGAGGGAACCCTGAATTTGCACAACAGTGAACCATGTCTTCTGGAATCTGAAAGCAGAACTTGACAGGATATTCGGTCCACTTATTTTTTTATTGCACAGAGAAGAGAGTCTTGACCTCAGATATTACAAGGCTAAACATTAAACAAGAAATGAAGGCCTTACAAAATTACAGACTGCCAAGGGGTCTACTCACCCATGACATGTGGGGATCCACTTGGAACGAATGGGGAGGGGAGAATCAATGAGTATTCATGAATGGCAGAACCACCACAAAAATTAATGCACTATCAGTTTACCTGAGAGCAAAAGGATATTTCCTTGAAACTTTTCTCAAGTGCTACTTTTTTCGTGTCAGGACTGATGAGATAAACTGCAGACTGCCCAATCTAAAAACAGTTAAATAAAAAGAGGATTACATTTAGCTTCAAGAAACACTATGTCAAATTTGTTCCAACTAAGAAATGTTCCTTGTGTATGAGAAATCTCAAAATGCATTCCACTCCATACTTTGACTCAATGTAGATTTAAATTACAATAATACAACACACTCCACATTTTGCATGAGAGAGAAAAAAATGACGCAAGGTTGGACCTGCACTTACTATTAAATTTATAGCATTGTAAAATACTGAATTGGAATTTTGTTCAGTTTACGAGGCAAAGGAAAAATTAAAGGACCTGCATTTAACCAGACAATAGCAAAACTATACTTACAGCAAATCCTGTATCTTGGCAGGGGATTAGACTAGATGACACTTGCGATCCCTTCTATGATTCTATGATTCTACAAAAAATCAGTTTTCCTACAACCTTAGCACATGTCAATTTAATCAAAGTTATGTGATGAAACTGCAGTGAAATCAAAAGGCAGGCCTGGAAGCTGACTGAACTCCCACTTATATTTTTTTAAAAGTGTTGTTAGATGTACACAGTACTTAATTTAAAGGCAATGTATCTCAAGATATAAAAATGAGGTGACTGGAGTACATTTTGATGTACATTTAGCTGTAGACCAATTTTGTAGCAGTAACCCTGTAGCTGCCGAGAAGCACTGCCAGGTTTGAACAGGAAACTTTTTCCCAGACAGGCACTAATTTTAAGGTGAAACAGCTGTTCAGGATTTTTCATGAGACTGGACATGGGCCAATATATAATGTTTAAATTGCAAAATTGTTGCCAAGTCTCTGCGGGCTTCTTCCTAATTGTCAGAAGATTGTATCTGCAGCCTGGTGAATTTTAGGATGTTTTCCTCTTCGAAAGGTGGAATCTCCATACACGCACACAAAAAACCAAAGTAACCCAAAAAACTACAGCCACCTACAATTCCCAGAATGTACATTAAACCATCCAGTGTGTCCCAGACACCTAGCTTATTGGAAAGACTCATCCAAGAGTGTAGGGGAGGAGAGTTGGGCCTCCTTCTTTTGTTTGTTCTAAGCATTTCCGCATGGATTCATTCTTGACCCTCCATAAAACTTTCCACCATCTCCTTGTCCCCATGGCTTGTTTTCCTTTGCTGTCCCCCAGGGCTGACCTTTCAGCTTTTACTTGCGGGGAGGCCATTCATCTCCTTGCCGCTCAGCAGACCTCTCCTCTGTTTTTTGCTGGCTGCCTATTCCTGTGGCAAGCAGCTAGCTCCCACTTCTACCCCATGCAGTTGCAACTGTCAGAGGAGTGGGTCACTGTACCTAGGGGACTGGCCAGGATAGCAATCTCCCAAGATGGTTTATTAAAACAAATGACTGTGCCAGCCAGATTAAGGGAACTGGCAAGCATCCTAGTCTACATGTTTTTCATAACATCTAATGTGCCAAATACTCAGCCTCTACTATACATTTCATAGAAAACCACAACAATAACCACTGCACTCAAATAAAGGGTAGTTCAACATCTGAACAATGTTAATTCAAGATTGATCAATATTAGTTGGCTAACCAATGAATTCCAGCACTGTGATCAGCTATGGGATGGTGGATACTGCAGTCCCTGACCAAGTCATTTCACTTCCTGCTCCTGAGAGGCGTTCCAACCAGATGTGCCATACAAGAAATCCAACTTTGCGTATTAAAGAAGCACCTTTTGTGAAATATTAGGAGACTAGGATGCCACAGTCAAAAGTATCCAAAGTTAAAAGCTCAGAAAGAAGCCACACCTGAAAGTCACGCCACTTTTTTGGGTGGCTAACTCTATACATTCAAGTCTGAAGCACACAGAGGTTCGAGTCAAAATTTTCAGTTTTCACATCTGTAAAACATCGGCATACAGTCTCCGCAGTAATTACATTGCTTGTGTGTGTCTACGCTTTATTCATTGTGTCAGCAGCATGTGTCCTCATCAAGAGCATTTATACTGATTGTACTGTCAGCATGGGGCATTGTGGGGTGGCTTCCGACAGCCAGTAACAGTTGATGTAAGCAGCACAGTGTCTATACTGACTTTATGCCTCTTGTGAACATGGCATTATTAAGTCAGCGTAGCGAGGCAGTTACATCGGCCAGAGCAAAATGTTAGTGTAGATACTTATATAGTTAGGTCTGCCTGGAATCGACCTAACTCTGTAGTGTAGCCCAGGCCTAAATTTTAAAAGTATTGCACTGTATTTAAAAAACTTTGTACTAAAAAGCACAGAACCACCATCTCCAGGAATAGCCAGCCAAAAGAAACACACACAAGTACTTAATGTACCCAAGAGATGAGCTCAAGATAACCAGCCAAACTATTGTCTACTATACTACCTCTAATTAACCAGTGTTGTACAAAATATAGTAAACATGAATGTATTTGCAATATAGCAGGAAAATGAAGCAAAACTAACCTATACACTCTTCAAATCCTGACAAACAATAGTAGGGGTGTAGCTGGCTAGGTGAATTTTGGATACAGAGAGGTCAACCTGGTGCCAACCTCAACGTCAGTATGCTCAGAACTACCCACAATAGCAGCCCACAGTTACACATACACACCGATTACTACTGGGAGTAGGTGCAGTTAAACTGCAAGAGCACCTTAACTAAACTGCTTGTTATGAGACACAAAGTGAGTGCTTGCCTGCAGCCAAGTTCCAAAGATTCTGTGCTCTAAACAGGCAGCATCTCTCACCTATAAAGTTGTTTCTGCTGTAATTATTTAGCATAATACACACACAATATATATAACTAACTTTTATTATTTCTGAGATAGAGATATATATCTCTATCTCACAGAAATAATAAAAGTTAGTTCCAGCCTTTACATCAGATAATTATCAATAATATTTCCTAATAGTTTCTCAACACTGTCCTTTTGAAGCTCAATGTTTTACGTGGTTCTGTTTTAAACTGTTTCACTTAATATACTTTGACAACGTAAAACAGATTTTTACACTGAATGATAAAACTCTACAAAGAAATATATAAAATTTTATGTGTAACAAGCTCCAATAACTGCAGGAAGTTATTCAAGGAGGAACTCCCATCTTTGTAGGACATTTCTTTTGCATTTCCTATCCAGTGTTTAAGAGACATAAAATGCTTGCAAAGTTGCAATTTGTTTTACCGTGAACAACATAGTCCGGTTTCCTGCAATATCTGTTGGCTGCACAACGTTGTGTCCATAGCCAAGTTGACGTTTTAGGTTCAGCGAAGTCTCAGTTTCATCAAAAGAGCTGGCAAAACTGTTACTCCTGCAACTCCCATCTTGCAAGTCCCTCTTAAAAGAAAAGGAACGCAGCCCAGGCTGAGAATAAGATTTCCTAATTGGCCTTTTCTCTTCTTCTTCACCGACCAAGGGTTGGAAAACAGATCGCAATTTATCACTGAATGATAATCCTCCAGAATTACTGGCAGTTTCACGTTGTTGGGACAATGAATTAAATTCCAATTTTTTGGTACAACTAACATGGTTAAATTTTTCTATACATTCATCTATTAATGCTGGGGGCGCATTTTTGTGTGCTACTGTCACTCGTCCACAGAACAACACCTCAAACTTTTTGGAAAAAGGGTCTTCAACTTCAGATGGATTATTCTGGAACTCTTCTTGGCGAGCGATTTTTCCAGCCTGTCGAATGGAGCCAATAATCTCAGGCACCTACGAGAAAGAGAAAAAAAACAGTATCAACAAATGGTTCTTTATGCCTAAGACATTGGAATGCTAAAAGGAGACTCCTTATGTCAAATTTCCATTTCCAATTTCCAAGTGGCCACTAATTTTGGGTGCCACCTTTTCTGAGAGACCACCTGGAGACATCGTGAATTTATCTCAAACAATATGTGCATTAGCAGTTAGATATTGTTCGATAGAAAACCTTGCGAGGAGGAGGAAAACTGGTTAATATATGGAGATATACCTATGTCATAGAACTGAAAGGGACCCCGAAAGGTCATCAAGTCCAGCCCCCTGCCATCACTAGCAGGACCAAGTACTGATTTTGCCCCCCGATTCCTAAGTGGCCCCCTCAAGGATTGAACTCACAACCCTGGGTTTAGAAGGCCAATGCTCAAACCACTGAGCTATCCCTCCTCCCTTCATTTGCTTGCCTAACAAGAGATCATTATCATTAATACACAATCAGTGGACCTGATCTGTCAAGGTGCTGAGGATTTCCAAGAAAGCCTCTGGACTGATTTAAATCAAAACAATTTAAATCACAAATTTTAATCATGATTTAAATCAGCAAGCAGAAAATCTTGATTTAAATAATCAATTTTAATTATGTCTGCATTTGTATGTAAATTTGTAATAAATTAGTTATTTTCCTGAAGAAAGGTTGATTCTCATTGGTTGGTAACCATTAAAACATGTTGATTTGCAACTAATTATAGCTTTTGGACTACATTTGGTGCTTCTTTTTGCTAACTAGGAGAATAAAGTATATTTAAATATATTTATTTTAGCAATTATATAGCTTAATTTAGGTTTATCAGATCCTCAATTTTTACATTTTTATTATGTTAAGAAATGCATCATTCACCATGCTGTGCGGAGAATAAAATGATGTCCTCTATGCAGTAAAAGTGTCAGAACACCGTTTGTCTGTTCTAGCCCTGGCTCAAGGGACAGACTACTGAATAACCTATGGTGGACCCCACAAGAGTCCAGGAATTCCACTGTACTAGATGATTCATTTTATACTTCTGATTTGTGACAAGCTACGTTTGGCTGGAAATCGAATGAATAAAAAATGTGCAAAAACCAGCATTTAAAATCTATTTATTAGTTAAATAAAACTACTTTAAATGTGCTGGATACATAAGAAGAAAAGTTTATTAAAATGTTTTGCATTTAAAACTGATTTATTAAAAAAGGAAATATCATCAATAGTTAATGAATTGCATTGACTGTTTCTGTTCACCATGTCATTGAAAATTGTAGAACTAGTAGGTCTCATCCTCCCACAGCTATTTTTCATTCATAGATTGAAAGAGAAAAAACAAACTTTCCTGCTTTTTCAGCTCCCAACTGGTTTCTAAACATTGAATGAAATAGTCATTGAAGTGAACTAGTGTGCTAAGTCGGAGCGTGCAAATGAAATTTGCTGAGGATACCAAGTTTGGAGGCATGATCAATACAGAGGAGGATCGGAACATTATACAGGAAGATCTGGATGAACTTAAAGACTGGAATGACAGGAATGGGATGAAATTCAACAGTACTAAGTGCAAGATCATGCACTAAACATTTCTACTGCAACCTGGGGCTCCTTAGTTGGAAGCAACAGAGACCTGAGTGTGTGGGTCAATTACAGGATAACTATGAGCCACCAATGAGCTGGGGCTGTGAAAAGGGCAAATGTGATCCAAGAATGTATTAGGCGAGGCATTTCTAGTAGAGATATAGAAATATTAATGCCATTGTTCAAGGCACTGGTAAGACTTCATTTGGAATATTGTGTACAAATCTGGTCACCCATATTCAAGAAAGATTAATTTAAACTAGAACAGATGCAGAGAAGAGCTACCAGGATGATTGGGGAATGGAAGGCCTATCTTATGAGAGAATACTGGAAGAGCTTGTCATGTTTAGTCTAGCAAAAAGAAGGTTGAGAGGGGATATGATTGCTCTCCATAAATATATTAATGGGGTAATTCTAGACAGAGTTTAAACTAAAGGATGGTGTTGGCACAAGAACAAATGGATATAAACTGGCCATGAACATATTCAGGCTGGAAATTAGAAAGTTTCTAACAATCAGAAGGTGAGGTTCGGAAACAGCCTCCCAATAGACATTATGGGGGCAAACAACTTAAATTAGTTTTACGAGAGAAGGGGAAATTTATGAGTGCAATTGTATGATGGTGTTGCTTATGATGGTAGGGGGCTGGGCTCAAGGGGCTCACTTCTAGTTTTTCATATGTTACCCAAAGCTCATGCTTCAGTGTTTCAGCAGAAGTCAGGAAGGGATTGCCCCCGCCCCTCTCCACCTGCCTGCCCCAATGTATTCTGGGAGGGTTTTTCTTTAAAAAAATAATTCCTTCCTTGAAGCATCAGGGATGGACATGATTGTAGATGGAGAAGGCCAGAGCTCTGAGGTGGCACCGAGTTTCTCTTGCTCAAGTGCTTGGCTGGCTGGTTCTTGCTCACATGCTCAAGGTTTACCTGACTGCCATATGTGGGGTCAGGAAGCAATATATCTGCAGGTCAGATTGACAGTGACCTTGGGGATTTCTCGCCTTCCCCTGCAGCATGTGGGTGTGGGTCACATGCCAGGATTATCTGGGTATATCTCATGTAATCCTTTCCCTGTCATTAAGGGGACCTCAAGCTCTGGTGTACCTCAGTCTTTCCTATTTTCTGTCGGTGGCACATAACTGTATAATACTTTGGTTTCATTTCAGTTGCTGGATTTAGTGTGCAGGTGCTGGGGAGTGTGGGTGACCTGTGGTATACAGGAAGTCAGACTAGATGATCTAGTGGTTCCTTCTAGCCTTAAACTCTAAGACTGTATGATCTACTTGAATAAGATGAAATGAAGAAAATATTCTCTCTGCCCCTGCAAAAGAGACTACTGCTGTCAAAAGTTGGTTTAACCCTTCAACAAACTTCAGGTGCTTAGCCAGCAACTTCCACCAGTTCAGTGGTTTGACTTTCTTTAAAACTTAGCAGCAAATATGTACTGCTTACTACTATTTTTTGTATTTAATGTAAATGATTTTAATAGATTATCATCAGTTTGGGTCTTGACATAGGCTGCCAATTTCAAATTTAATTTTAAATAGGTTTATATTTTAAAATGGGGAGGCATAGCTCAGTGGTTTGAGCATTGGCCTGCTAAATCCAGGGTTGTAAATTCAATCCTTGAAGGGGCCACTTAGGGATCTGGGGCAAAATCAGTATTTGGTCCTGCTAGTGAAGGCAGGGGGCTGGACTCGATGACCATTCAAGGTCCCTTCCAGTTCTGGGAGATAGGATATCTCCATTAAAAAAAAAAAATCTCTATTTAATAATTTAATTTTTAAAAATCCTCAATTTTCATCCACCCTGGCCTCTACAACTCACACCCCAGTGTTAGTATCAAGTTCAAACTCAAAAAGGAAAGACAAATAACATTCTAGAATATAACAGTAGCCACAAAACAATCAGGAATGCCAAGCATTAATGTTATTGGTAGATTAATGGCATATCTTGCACACTTGTTCATAGTACCTTCATAGTAGCACATTCTACCATTAAACCAAAATGTTTTTGACAGAAAGTAATTTTGTTTGAAAGAAACAAAATAATTCCTTTTGTCATATATTTCTATAATTCCACACGGTGGGAGTCCTATCTAAATTAATTTAAACATTCCACCATTTTCAGGGAATCCATGTTAGGAAATACTCAGTTATGATCCACAGAAACTATAAATTATAAAAAAAAAGCCCAACTACTATCAGAGGCCAATATTTTAATTAATTAACATGAACTGAATCAATAATAGTTGGAAATCGCTTCTGCTGTCTGAATAGCACATGCAAGTCTTCCTCCAATGGTCTGCTAGGCTCATATTTATAGTGTGTGTACCATACTTGGTTATGTTACACACACTATAAAAGTATATTAAGTACACAACTACTTTGTGTTCTTTCGCAGCCTTTGATTGGAGTAAGGGATTATATTATATCAGCAACAAAGGCTGTAGAACAAACACAAACCTGGTGCCATAGCGTATTCATCCAGCGGAGAATACTGCCAGATATTTAACAATCCAGAATAATTTTGACAAAAGACCAATGAATACATAATTTTCTACAGAAATGGATCTCATCTAGTGAAAGAAGAAATTTAGGATTAAACCCACTTTCAGAATGATTGTGTTCATGAAAATTTGATTGCTGATGCTGCAGCAGGAGGTCTGGAATAGCATTCTAAAACATCAAACCAGGAGAACCATCTCCCCAGACAAGTACTGAGATGGTGAGGTATGCTTCAACTCCAGAGAACCCTTCTGGAGGTCACCTCTGCTTTTAATAAACATATCCATTTTTTTTTAAAAACAGTTGAAGTACAACAGGACTATGCAGAAACAATTGAAAGGTTTTACCTTCAAGCGTTCAGAAACTCAGCACTGTTTTTTTTTTTTTTATAGATAAGGAAGTATGGCAAAAAGCATTAGTCAGAGGACTAAAACAGTGAATATGACAAATAACAACAATCAGTCAGGAAACATTACTTCACCCTTGAGCATGATGCATGAATCATCAGTTAAATCATACATAGAGGAAACAGACAATGGGTCAGGACTTCAAAATTCTATTCCCAGCTACACCACTAATTAGCTGAGCAGCCTTGGGCCTAGACAGCTCTGTGCCTTGGTTTTAACGTATGTAAAACGGAGATGATAGTTCTTGTTACCTCCAAGGATGTTGTGAGGCTTATTATTTAATAGGCCAGACCGTGTGTTCTTCCCTTTCTAGATTGGAAGAAGAAAACGTCTGTGGGGGACTTTAAGCCATTTCTGCACCCTCCATAATTCTGGCCCTGTCCAGAGACACTACTGAGAGTAGACATAAGGTTGCGTGTGCCAAGTTTTAGGTGACCATCTATGGACTGTTACTCCAGCACAATAGCTTCCTCTCACACCCTCTCTACCCATTGCAGAGCCAATA